CGCATAGGTTGAAGAGTCCAAAATTATATAAAAAGTAGTAAGAGAGCCACATCCCTTTATCAATGAGTCCAAAATGGTATTTTGTTGTATTTTCAGTAGTGGAAAAAGAAAGTCAACATGTTTCGGGGTTCATCACGGCTACAAAGCAAGTCAAAGAACATAAAAGCTAATACGTTATAATGAAATATGTCATGTGAAAGGCTCTATCATAAATACATATTTAAATATTCATTAATGATATAATCTTTTACAATACATATTTATTATGCACTGTAGCCCCGATAAAGGGGGGGCATTCAAATCCCCGAAATGCGTTGGCTTTCTTATTCTACTGAATATACAATAAAACTTGCTAATCTATGAGTGTGGCCCTTTTACTACTTCTTATATAGTTAGATTTTAACTACAGTCTCTTTTCCCCTAACTACCTGTCCCAGTGACAGGGAATCAGAGAGACAGGAAGTGACGTGGAGTCCTCCAATATGCAACAAAAGCATTTTTTTTTTTACTGTGCAATTCCAGTCCCTATGACCCCTTTTCTCCTAATTTCTCATCCTGACAGGTTCACTTTAATGGGCACTGGGTACTTGTTCACTATTGAACCAAACTAGAATGTTGCTTTCCTTTACACACAGAAGCAACAACCAAAAAACAAAAGCAGAAACGCATGAAAAGATGTTCAATTTTCTTATTAAATAAAGAGGTTTTTTTTTCCTGGAGTTCTCCTTTAACAGTCTTGTTTTTTTTATATACTTCTGCTGGTCTTAAAATACCTGTTAAAAAAAAATGACCTGAAGTTTTCTAATTTTTTCTTTAAGTAATTCTGTCTCTCAGGAGCGATCTGCCTCCCCATATTCATTAGGGTCCGCAATTATTTTTGGCAGATGGCGTATTGCGTTTTGACATACCACATCTGCTCTTTCAGCCTGATTGCTGTTTATTTAATGCCTGCACATATAAAATATTACTTTTCTCTGAGCCGGTTAAAGATGCCTGAGGATCCCGCATAACGAGAAAAGTGACTAGTTGTGAGGAGCGGAAATTCACAGGGGCCTATTTATCACGTACCCGCAGTATGCTTAGCATGCTGACAGCCATGTTGTGTGGGGAAGCGGCATTCAAACCAAAGTTCTGCACTCCACAGAAGACATTTTTTTTCTATAAGTGGAAAGAAAGCGCTGGACCCGTGTGGGTATTCTCTTGCTGCTTCTCATCCAACGGTAGTTAAGTGCTGTGAGTATGGGTGATCTGGCTAGCGCAATCCACAGTATCCTTGACTCGACAGTGAACTCAGCAGATGTAGGCACACCAATTAAAATAGTCCAGATACAACTTTATTCCATTAGGGTCATGGGACATTCACTGCGTTACGGGGGTCCTAAACACACCCCTTTAGCCCTGATGAAGGAGGAGTGTTTTGAACCCCCTGAAACGGGTTGCCTACTGTCATTGGATGTCCCCTGACCCTCATGGAATAAAGTTGTATCTGGACTATTTTAATTGGTGTGGCGCTTCAATTACTGCATCTACTGTGTTCACTGTCAAGCTAAGGATTCTCTGGGTATCCTTTGGATTGCAGAAGCTGCCTACCCGTTGTCCAGATCTACTATTTTTCAATACCATCCACTGATGATTGCTAATAAGTTCATAATAGTGGATCACATAAAGCTGTATATGGAGGCTGTACCTCAGTTGGGTATAATAGGATGACCTGTATGTTTTTGCTCACAATCTGTATATTAAGAATAATATCTTGATCTCTGATTGGGCGAGAAAAGAGATTATCCCTGAAAGCTAACAAAAATAATAATAATATCAAATGTCCCTGGAACAGAAGAGCTTTTATACTCACCTGTGTCTGCTACCTTCCTTTTGTTTATTTGCTGCAGCCTCCATGAGACTCTACTACATTTCAATGACTATTGGAAGCCTTTGCCCCCCACCTCACCCTGTGGTTCAATCCCCCAACCCCTGTGTCAGTGCTATGTGCATTGTGGCTGAAGGATGGAACCATGACACTCAGCAGAGGGGGAAAGGCATCAGATACTCCTGGAAGTGCCGAATGCCAAAGAGTCTTATGGAGTTTGCAGCGCCAAAACGGAGGGAAGGTATGAGTCACGGCTGCCAGAGAGACGAGTATACTACCTCTTCTATTGAAGGGACCTTTTATCTGGATTCTTTTGTACCCTGGCCTGGTCACGTCAAAGGAAAATTACAGAAATGTTTTACATTTACAGGTCCCCAAGTGATGAAATTCCATTATTATCTAACTGTTGGGCCAACTACAAAACCAAACCACTGTGTTACCCGACCCTATGGATTCTTTAACCTAAACAACTAGGTCATCCAGATACAAGAGAATGGCACCCTGTGGGACAAGGAGAAGAGCCAAACTACTGCAAGAAAAAACTAGTCATTGAACAAAAATATACGTTTTTGTGAAGAGATGGTGTGTAATTACTAACAAGTAAAACAAAATGTATCATTATTGCTAATTCAACACTGTAAGGAGACCAATCGAAAAGATTGGGATAGGCATAGGTCTTTCAGAAACATCAGTCAACATAAGCATCCATAACAATTATTTAGGCATTGAAGTATATCTAAAGCTCAACATTTTTAGTTGTTAATGTAGTGCTGAGGGGTTAAAATTTCTCTCAGGTCATTGCTGTCTCTTCCCCCTTGGAGAGATTCAGTCTGTTTGTCCCGTTGACTACTGTCACCAGGGCTGAAAGTAGGGAGAATACAAATTTTAAGGCTTTCACGAGAAAACAGGTCTAGTGAGGACAATTGTTCCAGTGACAAATGTCAAAGAGGGTTTTCCTGACTTCCTAAATTTTGGCTTTAGATATACTTTAATCAGCAGCAGCAGGTTACAGGTTGGACAGTAAGTATTAACCTTACCTCAGGATACGACCACTCTGGGGAGTAATCTGTTACCAGGAACAGCCGTCCGCTCTGCTGCAGCATTCCCAGCGTGCTTTGTGCTGCTGCTGACACCACCTCTGCAACGTGCATGTATGCCATAGTAGTGGCTGCCGTTTCAGAGCTGCCCAGCTGCATACCGGCCTGTTGAGGGCTACAACAAGGTATGCACATTTCAGCCTGAGAGTATGCGGGTCGATTCCCATCTTCACCCTGCTGCAACACGTTGCTGTCTCCTGCTACCAGCTGGTGCCCATAAATGGTGTTACTCCCTCCTTCCACAGATATAAAGTCATTGATAAGGTCAGAGAATTGGTTGCTGAAGGAGATATCAAAGTGATCTAAGTTGAGCTCCATGTTGGAGTTGCTCAACGCCTGGTGAGCCACTGGATAGAGTCCTTGCACCATGTTTCCCTGCAGAATTGGGAGATTGTTGCCATTTCTCATTGTGGCAGAGTTTTCTGACTGCATATAGTGTTCAGCATTGCAGGCTTGGAGGTCTCCAGGCTTGAGGAGGTTCTCATTCCCTTCAGGGTGCTGCGATGTCTCCATCGAAATCTCTTCGGAATTCATCGACTGGAAGTTGGCCTGGAATTGCATGAGCTGGAGAGAAGAGGTGGACTCTATTCTAGCGTGGTCGATGTTGCCATTGCAGTTGGCAGGCGCTTGACTAGACGCTTCAGTCTTAATGCTGGCCAAACCCAACGTGTTTACGTACGTGTTTGAGTCGTTTAGGTTGTTGTGGTTGTTTTGCTCCATAGGGATCGGCTTGCTGGCATCTTGTAAAAAGAAGCTAGGGGAAGGGGTCTGGTGGACGTGGGGACTCTGCACCGTCTGGTTGAAGCTTGTTGAATAATCCTTGTTGGAATCAATTGCACTGAAATCCATCTGCTCCAGGGTGGTGCTAGGGCTCAGTCCACCGCCGGATGGAAGTAAACCAGAGCCAGGAGTGAGGGTTAGTGTATTTGATGACGTTGATGGAAAGGTCTCCTTTGCTAGCTGCTGCTCGAATGAGGTGTCCTCTGTTTTTATCTCCTTAACTAAAGTTGCATTGAAAGAGTAACTACGTTCTGTGCTGGATGACCTTCGCATATTCGTGCTAATGTTGTCTTCTTTAAGACTGCTTCCACCGTACGTCTGCCCTTGTTTTGGGTTGTTGAGAAAACAGTCTGGGTCAAAATTCATTGTGGTTTCGGGCATCTTTCGGCTGTCAAGGGTGGTAGACAGCACAAGCTCTTCCGAGACATTGGCAGACAACATTGATAAGCTATCCGAGCTCCCTGTAGTAGGGAAGGCAAACTTGTGACCATCTGAACTTACTGCAAGTACAAGTCCCTGGGTGGTGGTATCTGAGGACAAGAGGTGTTGACTGGCACCGGTGTTGGGTGACATTGTGTATACTGCTTCGTTGGTGACCTCAGACATAAACACAGTGGCATTCTGGGAGAGGCTTCCCATTACTGAGGCAACGGCCATGCTAGAGACACCAGTGACAGCGGGACTGTCGGCCATGTCTGGGTCACTATTCAGACCACTGCTGATGGATACGGGGGAGTTCTGGGTCGTGTCGGGAACCTCCACCTGATTGGTTGATGAAACCTCTGTACTGTTTTGATGGAGCAGCACCGGCTTGGCCATCTTTCCGTTCCTCTTCTCCCGGCTGGAGGATTTACCATGACTGTGCTCGTTCTTGCCTTCTGAAACATCATTGTTCTGTACCTCTGAATGAGCGCTGTAGCCTCCCGTCCTTGGCTCGACCTTTGGTGAGATGATGCGATGTTTGGCACTGTTACACTTGTGGTGCACACTGCTACCTGCACCTACAACAGACAACAGGAGACTATGTTAATAAAGGAGCAGAAGACCGGCATCTTAGCTTGCATGTGCAAGAAAGTGTCACTAAACAGAACAATCATTCAAGAGCATGGTTTGAGGTAGGTGTGGATGAGGGTGGGCAGGTGGTAATGTCTTGACACATATGTCAATGATATCATCACATACAATATACTCTACTTGAGGTTTCTGTAAAGTTGTGGATAGATTTAGAAAGGGTTAGACCCTCTGTCAAGTTTTATTGCTGTCTATGTCTCCAGGAGATTCATCCTCTCTGACAATGGTCAGCTGGACAGAGGGGAAATCTAAAATGTTAGAAGCGTTTTCCCCAAAGCAAGAGCTGCGGGTAAATATTCCAATGGGGACACCTGTTCTGGTGCCGACTCCCCAAGATGGAAATTCCTCCTACTTTGGATACATTTCCTCTCATTTCCTGTGTTGTAAAAGAAAGAAAGGCAACACTGATAGCAAGAAATAACCTTATAGGGGTTATAATACTGCCTCAATTTTGTCAACACATGCACATTATTTTAATGAAATGCATGACTTTGGCTACTCAGACATGAGATGGTCATCGCCCAATCTGGCCAATATCAATTACATAGATTTTAATTTGTTTTTAAAACATTGTCAAAATTACAGGTGACAATATCTGAAACATCTTAAAAAAGTGGGAGATATTTTCCTTCCAAAAAATCAGGTCCCATAATTTCTGGTGGGGTATTGAAGGTTTTATATATATATACATGTCAGTGACCAAGTTTGTGTTGCTTAACTGCAGTATAGAAAAGTCAGGTCACTGACCCAGCTGGATCAAAAATCATGTGTCAGATGAGACAGTTCCCACCTGATTCCTCATTATTAGACATCATTTTAAAGTGAAAGTCTGCATTTTGAATGGTGGCAACAGGTTCATTTTACACCATCATTTAGTGAAATGTCATCTAGCAGCCGTTCTGCCTTCATATTTAGGGTGCTAAGCTGTTGTCTGTGAACCATCTCAGCTCTGTTTGCACAGATTTCCTTTCTCTCTTCTATCCATGCGAAAAAAAAAAAAGCCTATGAATTTTTGATTTTTCTTGCGCTAATTGTTTTCCTCTTTCTTCACAGAAAAAGAGATAGGAACCTTAATTATTCTATAATGACCTAAAAGGAAAAGAAGTTAATCCTTTTCTGCTAATGGTTGGTTGTAATTACTTGTGTCAAAAGCTGGGATAGTTGCGGAAGCTTGGGAACGAAACAATATATGGAGACGCCTATTCATCAAATGCATGTGAGCGGCTGCTAGTTCAGGCGTGTTTAAAGCGGTGCTGCAGTTTAAATCTATTTTTAAGGAGAGGTGTGGGCGAGGCGCTGGGGTTGGATCCCCCATTGGTTGAAAACAAGATCCTTAATGGAGCCAAGTGGCATTGGTTAGGTCAATGTGGACCCCCTCACCCCAAAAAGGACAGTCTGAATCTATTTTAAGGGAGAGGTGGAGCCAAGAGGCATAGGTCCGGTAATTTGGGAAAATGTGGACCCCCCACCCCAAAAGGACAGGGGTCACCCAAAATTGAGTAATGTGTAGAGTTGAACCTCCTGCTCTGCTGCTTGCACTTCCCCAGGTGTTACCATGGGCGGTGCATGGGGGGGGGGGGGGGGCGGTGGGTCCGAG